CAGACAAAGGAAACAGACTGTGAAGACACACAGAATTACAGGCAAAGAGGCTGTCAAGAAGATTTCATGTCCAGCTTCTTCCCCAAGGGGGATCAGCTCAGCCCAAGCCATTCCTCAGATGCGTATCCAGCTTGTACTTAAGCATCTCAAGGGACGGGAGCTGGACGGTGTTTCTCTCCCCTTATCCCTACAAAACATCTCACTGCCACCTTGCAGAAATTTGATTTTTGGCTGTCCTGTGACAGAATGATGAGCGTCTCACCCCGAACCCAACTCAATCCTTGAAGGCAAGGCAAGAGCTGGACCTGGCTTTGACCTCAGCTTCCCTGGTTTGGCCAGGTCTGAAGGTTGGTGTGGCACAGCGGGGCTGCCCATCTCCGTCCCCGCACTGTGCGGTGGTACCCACGGGAAGCTGAAGGCATTGCACAGCCATGCCCCATCCAACGCACGGATCCTTGGCCCAAGTGGCGTTTGAGCTTTTGGGGGACTCCCGGGCATCCCACACCCTTTGTCAGAGCACTTCGACTGTCTCTCCATCTCCAGGCACCCAGATGTCCCAGATGCATCTACAGCCTGTGGCACATGCAGGAACAGACGTGCTTCTGGCGTGTCCTGCTCGCTGGGCACATGCCACAGCCACGTACCTCTACGCCACGACATTAGAAGCTCCAGGGCACACTCCTGGTCTTTGCAGGCAACCTGCCTGGCACTCATCGCACCCGTGCTAGTGCTTCCCATCCGAAGAAAGGGTTTGGCTGGGCAGTTCCTAATCTGCCCTTTGGGACTGGCCCATGGCTGTTGTACCTCCTGACCCTCCCTGGGGACTGTTTGGGTCAGTGCCAGCTAGCCGAAACCTTCTCAGAGATGGTCCTAATAATGTACTAAGGTTATGGGCACTTCAGATGCTTGGCCCGGCACCGTCTAATTAATGAGACTTGACAGAGGTGTTTACCAGTAGAGATGTGGCCATAAATTCCCATGACAGAGCGTCAATATCTTCGTGCTAGTGAAGCTTGAGGCACTCGGCGGCAGGCTGCGTGGGGAGCTGCTATGAGAAATGAGCTCCCCATAAGAGCTGTGTTCAGGAAGAACCACCCTCATGTGCTTTCTGCCACCACTGGGCGCACACGAGTTAAGGATTCACCCCCAAAATGCTCCTTCCTTTGGCGAGCTGCTCCCAGAGGCATTGGGTTGGCCCCTGGATTTCTCCTGAACTTCTCTTTGCTGCAGCTCCTCCCCAAACTCTTTCTGGCACGCAGTGGGGAATAACCCACAGCACCGCACGGCAAGAAAAGCCACTGCAAACAGGAATCAGATCTTCATGCACATCACAACAAGCATCTCCCCACACAGTGGACACGGCTGCTCTCGGGTTCTGGGGACAGCTGTGCCTCATGTGTGGTGGGACCTGGAGAAGGAAGGAGGCCTCAAAGGCGAGGCCGTACCCCACCCTGGGATCTCCAGCCTGGATCCCAGCACCCCTCCTGAGCAAGGATGCTTTTCTAGCTGCTCCATCGCTTCTCCCCAGCAGCTCTCTTGCAGCCAAGAAAGGGGAATCCAGGGGCAATGCTTGTGGGACATCCGGAGGGACAAGGCAGGAGCAACACAGCACTGCAAACCCCACTGCCGCCAGCATGAGTGGGTGCTGACCGGCTCCCTACCTCGTGTTGAGGGATCCCTGGCTAAGGGTATCTCCCTCTCCCAGAAGCTCATCTTCACTGTGGTAATACATCTCGTCCTCTTCCATCCTGTGTGGGTGGTGACACAGAAAACATCAGCCCTCATGTTTGTAACAGCAGTGGTGGCCCTTGGGGCTGGCAGAGGTGAGTGCAGGGCAGGAGGGCACAGCCAAGCCTGGCAGCCCCCTGCGCTCAGAATGACCCCTGCCGTGGCACAAGACTCCAAACCGGAGGACATGGGGAAGCTCCTTGGGACAAAAGCAGCAGGAGAAGCCAGTTTTAGCGCAGTTGTCCACACACAAAGTGATGTGGGACAGTGGGACCAGCGCGCTGTGGCTTTTGGCAAGTCTGCTGAGGGGTTCTCCTCCCTCTCCTCCTTTAAAACGGTTTGTCTGTGAGCTGTGCCTGATGGCACAGCCTGCTCCTGTGAGCCAGGGCTGTGAAGAGATGGGCAGGGGCTACCACGGCTCCCTTGGCAGCAGCGCTGGGGCCGGCAGGCCACCTGCAGCACTCGGCCTCGCCCGGCCTGAGCCCCGTGTACAAAGGTGGTTTTTTCTCCAAAGAATCACGGATCTGGAGGAGAAACTGAAGCCAAATATCAAGGGATTTTCACCAGACTGTGGCCACTGGGAGCCACTCTCCCACCAGCCAAGAGACGCTGAGCTGTGGGGGAAACGCAGGACAAGGATCATCACTGCAGCACCATTTGCAGGTGCCACAGCAGCATGTAGCCTGCATAGGTCCTGCTGCCTGTTCAGAAACTTGCCTTTATTTCAGCTCTCCCACAGAAAGGATTTTTCACCAACCACGCACAGACCAGCCCCAAGCAAAGTCCTTCTGCTCCGCACCGCCTGCGTGCAGCCAGCACCGCTCAGCAGCCTTCAGCCCCGACGCAGCTCAGCAAACCACGTGCCCCCAGGTGGGATCTGTCGGGCTAAACGTGGCTGTCCTCACCCTCCAGCTGAGCTGGGCATCTGAGACTGAAGTCCCTGGAGACCTCATCCAGAGCCTCTACGCGCAGCTCATCTGGCTGCCTGCTGCGGGCCATGCGCCTGCCACGCAGTGGTCCTGACCTCTCCGGTGAGAGTAAAGTCGCGTCCACATCACGCTGCGCCTCCGAAGCCCACGTGGCGCAGGCAGGATGCTCGTTTCTCAACACAGGGGGCTGACAGACAGACTGAAACCCACCCTGCAAGCCAGGCTATGCCTCGCACGCCGCCCTGCCATACCCCTTCTAAATCCTTCAGCTTCTTCCCTGCTCATCAACATCACGGTCCGCTGAGCTGGGAAACGAAACTGCACTTTCAATTTGCTTGAAAATTCACAGGTTTCAGCCCAATTCACACGGTTAATTAGCTGCCTGGGAGTGATGAGAGCAACTGCAGATATCTTCCCTCAGCCTCACACTGTGGGGAGAAAGAAATTTTGCTCTTATATGGCCACAATAAAGTGCTAAACCCAGAGAGAAAGCGAACGCTACTGAAGCACACAGTGGCATGAACCCAGCGTGGGGGATGCAGGGCTGCAGCAGCACCTGAGGTGTAAATGCCATTAAACAGGCAGCCGATCCCTAGGGGTCTGGTTGGATTGACACCTCCAGGCTGGGCTCCCATGGAAACACAAGGTCTGTCCTTTGATCCACCAGCACTTTGCAGCCCTCGGAGAAGGGCTGTGCTCACCCCAGGAGGGCGGTGGGTGACCTGAGGATCCAGCTCTGCCTGGGCTGCTTGCACTCTCTGCCTGTCCCATAGAGTCTCCAGTTCATCTCTTTCCACAAGACTTTTAGCGACTTCAGGACTCTTCCAACTGAAAGAAGCCAATGAGTTCAAGAGCTACAGGAGTAGAGACCAACAGACCAAGTCACTGCCATGGACAACTACATAAACTGTGTAAAGCTGCCTGAAAAGCCAGCTTAGCAGCCCATGAACCCAAAATATTTATACACAAGTGGGTTCACACTTGCAAAATTCTATTTTCTGATGAGCTGGGTAAGGATTTGAGCACAAAGTTCAGAGCGCCCATGGTGGGGTGTCCTGAATCTGGCCCAGCCCCGGGGCCTCAGTGTCCCTCCATGTCTTGGCCTCATGGGTGCGTATGAGGTGGTATAGGGGCTGTTCCTCCCAGCCAGGACTAAGCCCTGAGCACCCGTAAGCCCCAGCTCATGGCAGATCTGGTCCCACCTCGCATTCCGTCCCAATGGACAGCCAACTTCAGCGTCCCCAGTCCGGAGCCCTCTCCTCCCGTCCCAGTCACTCAGCTGGGTTTGTAGCTGGTTACAGCAGCTCTGTGTCAAGGATGGAACGATACAGTCCCTGGGCTTGTTTTCATCCAGTGCCAGGTCCCATGAGCTTAGAAAGACAACGGGGTGATGCTAAGGACTCTTAAACAAATAGAAAGCAGCTTATAGCATCCCTTAGAAGAACTGGGGGGGGTCCTCACCAGCCATCACAGGGTGAAGTGTCCCTCGGACAGTTCAAACAGGGCTCCCTTGCCCAGGCAGTGCCTTCAGTATGGGATTTCATTCAGGCCTGGCGAGGTACCGAGGTCCTGACAGTCTGCCACGGAGGGAGCTTTGACAAGGTCTCTGAGAAGTTACGTGCTTGTCTGTTGGGGGGTTAGTGCTGCCAGGGAGGTGCCAGGGCTCACTGCCTCTGCCCGTGCCACTTCATCCCTACCTTTTCCTCCAGCCTCTGCTGTGCCAACTGCCTTGCCATGGGATGTGCGTGCTCATGACGCCCCCCAGCACAGGGACACGGGTCAGAGGCACTGTCTCTGTCACCTTCCACCCCAGAAGCAACCACCCTGGTGTGGTTTTGCGGCTGACATGCCCTTCTCCCCCTGCCCCTGGCTGCAGCTGCATTCACCCCTCAGCACACCTCCACCTCCTGCCCCAAAGGCAGCTCAGTCCTGGGGGCACCAAGAGCTCCATCAAGACACAAGACCCCACACGTGACCCTACACCCCATGCATGGCTCTAATCCCACCCAATATGAGGTCTGATCAACAGCCAGACCCTTAACCCTCTCTGGATCTGTACTTTTGCACTCCGGCATGTGCCGTGTGCTACAAACCTCAGTGCCTGCTGGAAGACTCAGCTTTGTGCTGGGCAAGTGTGGAGGAGGAGCAGGGACCTGCTGGCACTGGTGGGGGGGCACTTACAGCCCATCTTCACCTTGAGCTGTGATAATGGGTCTTCCAGTGGCCAGGAGATGCGATGCGCCTTAAAGGAGCACTGGGGCAAAGCTATTCCTTCATGATAAGCCAGACCCTCCCCACCCCTGCTGCCATCACACATCTCCAAGTGCTTGAGCTTCACGTTACCTTCTGAAGCTCCTCTCTGCGGACTGCTGGTTGGATTTGCCCGGAGAGATGTCCGAGCTCTGCCGGTGTCCGGAGAGAAGACTGTCAGTCTCTAAGGGGCACCTGCCATCCCCCTCTGAGTGGACGCTGGGTGTCTCCAGGAACTCCTTGTCATTCCACGCACCCACTGTCCCATCCAGAGCCTGGTACCTGATCTCTATGGAGATGCTGGTCTGCAACACACAAGGAAGACACCATCAGCCCCCAAGGGCAGCACAGGGAGGAAGGAAAGTCCTGCAAAATCTGAAAGGCAGGAGCCCAAAGCCTCTTCTTTCCTAATGCGTGACGCACTTGGAGAGCAGGTCTTTGGCTTCAGGAGGTGGCCCAACCCAGCTCCAGTGTGGCGCTGCAGCCTCCTTCCCATGTAGGGACCTGATCCACTTGGATTTGCTGGCGCATCCCAGACCAGCTACATCAGATATGAGAGACACCAAAGGCCCTGAACAGCCCACAAACCCTTCGAGCAGCTGAAGGCACCATGAGCAGCTGAAGCCATGCCATGTTGGTGGGTTATTCTCTGTGGTGCATCACCTTGCTAAGAATTTGTGAAGGGCTGGGCCACCAAGCCCCATGGATGCGTGGTGCCTTGCTCCTGCCTGGCCCCATCCCATCGTGAGGCAGGGCAGGGTTTGACAAGGAACAGGCATCCCTGGGGAGGTTTGGATAGATCCTGGTTTGGGGAGGGGGTCTCCCAGCCTGGCCATGACCAGCCTGGTGGGGGCTTGGGGGTGTGAAAGGACTTGGCACTGGGTCTGTCCAAGCTTGATCTAAGCTTGCTCTGGATGAACCAAGCAAGAGTAAGGTCCTCTTCCTCTTCTACGTGGTCACTCCCCACTTACCCACCCAAGATTGCACCTTGCTGCTGCAGCAAATTCAGGGTTGAAGCTCCCAAACATTTTCCCCCCAAAAAAATCATTCTCTGGATTTAAAAGCCAATCAAGTATGTGAGAGTTCATCTTGCTGCAAAGAGCCTCTGGCACTGCCTTTGCCCTGATGCCCAAAGATATCCAAACCCACTGCTTTGGATAAAGCAGACAAAAAAATATTTCTCCTGAAAACATTTATTTTGAAAAGTAAACAGCTCCTGCAAAGATCAAAGCAAAAGCAAAAACCGTTCTCCACCTCCACACAGCTTCCATGGGGAAACGATAAGTTATATTTGAGGCAAAAGCAATTGATTTTAGACACAAGGACAAAATGGAAAGGCTAACAAACCGGGAGCAGGAAAATTTGCTACAAAATCTTCCTTTTTTCCTCTACATGTTTAAGAGGAGGTACAGCACCCTGACCTGCTCCGGCCGCAGCTTGTCAAAGGGATGATGAAAGACTGGAAAATGCAAGATACGGCCTGGAAGGATTCTGTGCATTTAGCAAGTGACAGCTACAGGGTGACTCAAACCCAGCTGGAAACAGAGCTTTGCGGAAGGTTTTGACTGATTTTATTCTTCCTATGGCAAAACACAAATTTGAGTCAATCAAAATGATTTGCCACACTGTGCTGACCTCACCAAGCTCTTTCAGATTGTTTTAAGAAGCAAATGCAGAGAAGAGACAAAGATCCATGTTGAAACATTAATTTTTCACATTTTCCAAACCACCTCAACGCTTTTGTGAAATGTTTGATTTTGAAATCTCATTTTTAAACTGTATTTAAAAATTTTAAAAAACCTTTTAAAGAAGTGAAAGATGATGGGTGTAATAAACTGGTTTGGGCTGAATAAAATCGTCACTTGTTTGAAGGGAAATTAGTAGGTGTAACCTAAAACCAAGAGAAATTCACACCAGAAAAAAACCCCTCTCAATTTAACGATAAAGAAAATTAGCGAGCAGAACAATTCACTGAAGGGCTGCTGGATTGCTCTGTCACTGGACATTTTAAAATCTTTTCTTTTTTCTCACCACTTGAGATAATAAAAAGTTGTGAGATGTCTCAGAGCCTCTCTCGCAGGAGGCCAGGCAACACGATCGTGATGACTTCACAACTCTTGGCTCTTTTAATCCCTTCGCTAAGGCAAGTCAATAACATTGCTAGGGCCGGCTGGAAGCTGACGTTCTGCAGCCAGCCCAGAAAAAGAAAAAGCATTTTCAACCCTTCCTTTGCACATGGTTGCAGCACGACGAAGGCACGCCCGGGCACTGCTTTCCAAGAAATGACGGCAGTGAAGACGCACCTCTCCCTCCACCCAGGGCTGGGGGGGCCGATGTCCAGAGCTGGACATGCTTCACACCGACGTGCCCGCAGCGTGGCCACCCCCGGGTGGGTTTGGAGGTGGGACGGTTTCACTGGGGTAGGACTTTGGTGAGCACAGTCTGCGGGAGGGGTCCCTGGTGCCGGCTCGGCGTCTTGCAGAAACGGAGCTGGGCTGCACCCCGGCACCTCGACCCCCTGCGCCGGGCTGGCCAGCCGCCCGCCCGGAGACAGCGCGATGCCAGACCTTGCTCAGGTGCCTTCGCAGAGGAAACAGGCCTTTAAAACCACAGGGTTTAAGGAGCTGAGGGAGGCGAGGTTTGCAGAGAGGGGAGAGGTGGAGATTGCCTTCTTTCCTGGTTCTGCAGGTTCTTGCAAGCCTTGAGCACGATACGTCCTCGAGTTTGCTCAGTGCAAGGAACACGTTGCTTCCAAGCACAACCTTTTTCTTTGCATCTCCAGGCACGAGGGTTGCAGACGGCCAGTTATTCCATCTCAGCTGATGGGCAGTGGCTTTCCATACCTGCCCACAGCCTCCTCGATATGTCTGATCATTTTTCAGTCCCTCTCTCCTCCTGCAACAACCGTGATCCGCTCCAATGCCTACTGAAAAAAATCAGCCTCAAGTCCGGGAGAAAGTGGGTCACCTCTCCAGGAGGGTGGACTTCGCTGCCCATCAGGAGCTATTCCAGATTTATATTTCCACTAACATCTCTCCATGCAAAACATCCCAGGCGTTGCACTCTGGTTTCTCTCTTCTCGAGGCTCCCTCAGTGCGAATTCATCCTCATGCTGAAGCAAAGGCCAGGAGCGGGTGGTTTGGAGAGGGAATTTATGAAGCTGAGTTGTCTCTGCACCCCTGAATTTGTAACGGATCCTGCGTGGGAGAAGGGATCCGAAATCCCGCTGAGAGCCCAACATGCAAACACACACCCTCACCTCCCCGCTCCAAGGGTGACCTGGGGCTAAGACGGTGCCACAGGAATGCAGGACAAATGGAGGGACGTGGCATTTCTGCTCACAGCAGGCACTAGAAACGCGGGGTTTGTGCGTGTGCATGCATACGGTTTGGGGGCGTGCAGAACACGGGGGGATTTATTGTCTTCCCCAAGGGAGCTCTGTGCTCCCGTGAAGCCTGCCTTGCCCAGGTGGCCCCGATTTTGTGGCGAGAGACAACAGTCAGTATTTTTGTTTCCCAGAGCACTCTACAGGTACCAACGGGAACAACTCCAGCAGAGCTGCCACGACACAGAGGAGGAGTAGGCGTGAGGTCCTCAGAGGGGAGGTGATGAGCACGGGTTATCCAGCACAGCAAGCACGGGCTGGGGAAGGTCGTTTCTCCTCCAGGTGCCTCCAGACAGAAGCACCCGGCTTATAAAGAGGCGAAGGGCGGCAGCCCATCTGCTTTAAACTACGACACAGCTATGCCAAGCTCCTGCACAGGCTGCAAGGCACCAGGCAATGCAGGTGCCTCCTCAGTCCTAGGTCAGTTCACTCTAAAAATGTCGTCATTTTTTGACATCAAGAAGTCGCACGTATTTAATTTTCATCCGTTGATTTTCCTGTCTCCCCCTGTGATAATGAAGGGTCTTAAAAACATAGGGTTTTTTTCCTTTGGAGGGTCCCATGGACTTTAATCAGGCAATTTCTCAGTCTGACAAACCAAGAGAACAGCCTGAGCTATTTTTTCCAACCCTGGTATTACTGTTGCACCCTGAGTCTACACTCCCTCCATTTTTTCTCCCTCCTCAGGACTGTATCCCTTGTACTTTTATCGGTTTCATTCCCCCTACCCGCACAGGAGAAGTCACCTCCTGTCCTCCCAGTGAAACCACGCGTCTTTCCATCGCCAGCCGCTTGTTGTCAGCACTTTGCCTTTATGCTGAGTGTAGCAAGCAGCTTATAAAGGAATAAGAAAAGGGGGGAGAGGGGAGGCTGAGTTTTTATTTTTTAATCAAAACACCAGGGTTCTGATACCCAAGAAGATCAGAAGTAGCTGTTTTTCCAAGCGCGTTATCAAACTCAGTCTCCATGGGAAACAGCTCCCATGAGATGCGTTAACCAGATTGAAATGCACCGAGTTACACAGCAGCTGCTCTGTAGACAGGGAGCCTTTCCCTTGGCATCAGGGGCTCTGGGTGAGGGGTGCAGACCCAGACTGGGTGGTATTTCTTACCCTGATTTTCCCCAGAGGGATGTAAAGAATAGGACTTCAGGGGAGCTGCTGCCCGAGGTGTTTCTCACGCGCTACGGGGGTCAGACGAAAGCAGTGCTGAGGTCAGAGACCAAGGCTGTAAATGTGGAGCGTGGCAAACAACCGCCGCCACTGGCGTGCGCTAAAGCTGCTGTACTAACAGTGGGGGCAGAGCCAGCGCGGGGTCGCCCGGGCGCAGCAGGGCGCGGGGAGCAGAGCTCAGCCTGCCGCTGTGGCCAAAGCAGCTGCTCAGCATCTCTGCGGGGATCTGGGGACCACGGCGTTCCCTGAGCTGCCGCGGGTCTCCAGCGGCAGGACACTCGCGGGATATTTCTGAGCTGTGGTGCATCAGCAACTGCACCGTGTCTGCCCGCAGACTAAACCTGGTCCGACCCTGCGTTGTCCCCATCCTACACGTCTCGCGGCATGCAGAGTAGCCAGCCTTTGCTGCGCGCCCTCAGGACAGCCCTGGCTGCCTTAGTCCTTCAGACCAAGAGCAATGGGATGAAGGAAGGGGGGAGGAATCAGGGATTCAGGTGCTTAACACAGACTTCTCTGTTCCCACGGAGTCAGCAGAAATACGGACAGACAGACCAATGACCGAACGGCAGCGGTGGCTGCTTGTTCCTTGTGACCCACCTGAATGGCTGAATTATTGTCGTCTATGAGCGTGTCCGTCACCTCCACCTGCCCTTCCTCCACCACCTTTTGCAGGACCATCCGGAAAGTGCCAATGAGCCTATGGAGCAAAGAAGAGAAAAGTCAGGCGAGCTGTGACAGGCACCCGCCAGCATCCATTTGTAATGAGAAAGGGCTTTGCTGGCCGAGCCGCCCAAGCGCACGTGGCTGGTTTTGCTTCGTCTGCCTTAAGAGCAGGTAGACGTGAGATGCGGGATCGGAGCATGGCCAAGGACTCTGGCAGCTGCAGCCACTGACCCTAGATCAGTGGAGATGGTGGGGAAAGGAGAAGCCAGGAGAGAAGCCATTTCAAGGTAACACTGTTGGAATAGGAAGAGGATGAGACTTTGGGAACGTCAGTATTTAATTACTGGGGTGCATCTAAGGGAACCCAAAACGGCCTTTTCCATCCTGAATGTCTGCAGTTATGTCTGCACTGGTAAACTGAACAAGGCAAGAACCAGGGCACTGTCCCTCACCCGTATGCACCAGGACGTCATCAGCACAGAACATCACATGGGAGGTCCCAGGTCAACATGCCCAACCCCAATCCGCCCCCGCCCCGGGAGGGTGGGTATCCTGGGGTAGGGCATCCCTGGATGTGCCTGGATGTGTGTGGGATGAGTCGAACAGCCCAGCCCGGCTGGGTTGGAGAACAGGGCTCACGTTGGTCAGTTTACTTGGATGGACACAGCCTGAAGGTGCTGCCTGTGCATCTGAAAGCTGCTCAGAGGAGAAGACTGAGTCCCTTGTTCTAAGGGAGGTCTAATCATATCTGATGCCTGAAGGCTCGTGTCCTTGCCCCAGCCCCCTCCTAGCCTGCTAGGTATCTTCAAGAGACACAGCAGGGACCCAGGGAGGTTAGGCTGTCTGCGTCCAGGGGGCTTTCATAGACTCGTTTATGTTGGAAAGGACCTTTAAGATCATCGAGTCCAACCGTTAATTTCAAGACCCAACTGGAAAAAGCCAAGAGCCACGTGGTGCGAGGTCAGGCTGACCCAGCTTTGAGCACGAGGCTGGACTAGAGACCTCCTGAAACACCTTCCAGTCTGAATTACCCTGTGATCCTCTGATGTGACCCTATGACCCTTAATCCCATGATTATTGCTGTGATCTGCAGCATGTGGGGCAAGAAACTTCAGTCCCAGTGCATCTGTCACACCTCACGGAGCTGGTGACAGGACCACGCGTCCCAGAGCCACAAGGGCTTGATGTGGCCGAAGGGAAGCGTTTCCAATAGGCATGGAGCCACGGTTTAACGCATTATTTCTTCCTCCCCAGGTTGTCCCCATGTTTGCTCTTCTGTGGGATGCTACTGGTCTGCCAGCAGAGCACTCCCCTCTTTCCTTCCCAGCTGGTGTCCCCAACCCCACGGCTGCACCAAGCAGCCCGCCTGATTCTGCACAGGAGCAGGCGAGGAGGACTCACCTCTCCCACCCGACCTGCACGTGCTGACTCCCACGGCGGGCTGAGGCGAATGCTGAGGGGAGGGTATAGAACGCCTTCCAACCACCGTGGCCGTGTCTCCCCCGAGCATCTGATCACCACCTAAACCCCCCCAAGATGAACAGGGTGACGGCATCCCATTGCTCATCGTGGCCCTTGCCTGGGCTCGCCGCAGCCTGCTGCTCTCACGGCCGGGCAGGGCAGCACTGTGTGCGCTAAGAGCAGCCACGTCTGTTAAATTACAGGTCCAAACAGGCACTGCAGAGAGTGGAGAAGCCTGGCGGCTCTCTAATAGAAGTAATTACTTATTTGCCAGCTCATGGCTTGTCAAGGAGCTGTGGCTTTATGTTCTTCATGTTCTGCTGCAGCACCGGAGGGACCTTCCCAGCCTGAGAAGAGCCAGCTATGAATCCACATGTGGCTCCCAACACGGAAAAAGCCCTGAGACAGCAAATGCGGCGCTGCCTTCCCCCGTCCGCCTTGTGTGTCATCTCCAGCGCTGCGATCCCAGCTGACAGTGAAGATATTACACGGCACACCAGGAAGATGCCCGCGGTGCTCTGCCGGCTGGAGCCAGTGAGAAAGCTGCTGCTGATTAAACGACTTCCTCGCAAACCTTAAGGCATCGCTGACTGCGATGCTGATTTATCGAGACGTGACTTCAGAGAGGGAGGCAATAACTCCCTGTGCCGCACGGTGGGATATTGAGGGCTCCTCTCCTGCCCCTGTGTAACCCAAGCACCCGAGGCTCTGCCTGCACCGGCAGCCTGGAGACCCAAGGTAAAACCAGGGTTAGCAGATTTGCCCCGGGTCAGTCTGTGGCAGAGCTGAGGACGGGGTTTGTCTTTCCCAGCTCTCAAACCACCCCTTTTAAGCCCCCTCTGAAAGGCAGCACAGCGCTGGATGGAAGAGCAGGGTCTGCTCAGCCCTGCTCAGCTCCCTGGGGTCTTCACTGGCTTTGGGGCTTGATCTGCCCAGGTCCTGCTTCTGCCAACCCTCTTTTTTCCCTTTCCCCCCCCAGATGGCCTTTCCCTGCACAGGTCCCTGTGTCACCTTGCCCACACAAGTGGGGATCAGACAGGATTGCCGTAGGCATTTCTCTGACCAAAGAAATCAAACTGTGCTGTGTAGTTATCCCACTGCACACCACTCATTTATAATAATAAGCTACCTGATCAAATTAATAAACTACCTGAGGAAAACAGAAAAATGACCTTACTCATCCTCTTATCTAGCTCTGTCTGGCTCACAGCAGCAGGGAGGTCCTGCTTTCTAGCAAAACACTGATGGGTCCTGCTGTAGCTTGCTGGTGGTGCTTGGTGCTCCGGGGGCAAAGGAGAGCGGTGGCAGACCCGCCCCGGTGGGCTGCGCAGGATGGGGCCCTTCCCTGCAGGACCTTCACCTCCCTCCTCAGCTCCCACATGCTCCACATGGCTGGATCCCATCACTGAGCTCCTTTAGCTCTGTCTCCAAGGTGCCACGCAGGGTGTTGAACATGGGTTCACCTGCTCTTGGTGTGCTTCATGTTACTTCATGCACGACGAATACTGCATTGTCGCCTCCCCTGGAGACCTGCTTCTTCTCAGAGATGGGCTTATCAGGGGAGGAGGCTGCTGTGTCAGCCTGGATTTCTGGGGTGGTGAAATAACGTTGTTTGCTGTTTGTGGGAGCAGCAGCTCTCTTGTTCTGGAAAGGCTTCCGTGAGAGAAGCCTGCGCTTTATTTCTCAGGCTTTGAGCACAGACTCTGTCACGGGGCTCTGGAGAGTTGTCCTCTGCTCTTGGCTGGGCTCAATTTCAGCAGGTCACTTTGGAGGGATGCTCTTGTGGCTTGAGCTCTAAAATCAAGTTATTTAGTGCAGTTGCTTATGAGTTAGATTTGTCTGTGAAGGTCGGCAGGCTCAGCCAGTAACGCACTATGCAGTTCTCGCTCTTACGCGTGTTTGTAGGTGTTGGTGTTATTTAACCTGTTTGCTGACGGCACATCACAAAAATGCAGCCCCTTGGAAGTGCCACACAGCCGAGGGTTCATTTATGGTGGTGGTTTCAGCTGATGGCTGGTGGTGCTGACCCCACCGAGGGAGTCTTAAAGGAGTCGTGATAAGACTTGGCAATGAATTGGTGCCTCCAGGGAACTCCATTCCATGGGAAATACCTACAGATATCCCAGAGGATATGCTGGGGGAGTGAGGAGCTCTTCTGGTTCCTCTGGACCCCCTTGCTGGTGGTGGTGGGGCAGGGCACAGGGGAGGCTGGTCTGAAAGAGCGTGGCTCTGCTTGGTAGCAGAAGCAATGCACGTGCATTTCCCCGGTGCTTAACGAAGTTAAGGAAGTGCCCCCAAGGCTGGCAGCTTCAGCCACCATTCAGTCACGTCTTAACACTGAGGCCACCTTAGAAACAGGAGTAACTGGGGGGTTTCTCCCACGTGGCTTTGCCAGGAGGGGTGTGAGAGCTGTGGCAGTTCGCGGGCTCAAGGGTTTATGGGGTGTTCAGCAGCCACACGCCTGCATGGTGGTTCTGCCTGAGAGCGTCTGGCTCTGTCCCTGGCAAAGCAAATAGCAAAAAGAGGGGGAAAAAAAAAACAGGAGCCAAAGAGGTGCAAAATGTCCAAAAGGCATTTTGTGCACAAGCCCTCCCGTGCTTGCTCAGGAGCCTGGTTGTGGGGTGGGAGGAGCTGAGGCTGATGGGGGAGACCCCAGGGTCGGGCAACATCTCAGCACGAGAACAGGACAGCGGGGACGTCCCAGGCAGAGGGGCCAGGGGCCCCTCCTGACCCCCCCCAAACTGTCTTCACAGACACCTCCTGCTTCTGTGACCCGCTGTGGTGCAGCCTCTGGCTGGGAGAAGGTCACCTCAGAGCAGCCCAGAGGCTGCAGCAGCATCACGTCCACCTCCAGCATGTCGATGCTCTCCCCAGCTGAGCTGCAGTCGAATGCTCACGCTGCCCGTGCGTGCTCGGAATGGCTGCTGCTGCTGTGGGAGCAGATGGAAGCAGGTGTGCCGGAGCCAGTCCTAGCCCCGCGGCAGCTTCTCCCCTGCCACTATATCTGGAAGGTGGCAACAGGCAAAGAGCAGACGATCCCATCTCCTGAGAAGATGGTGAGACCCCAGGGCCCTTTCACCACCCTCTCAGCACGTCTTTGCAACCCTTTCAGCTCAACTTAGGTGTTTCTGCAGCCCCCAGCTCACTTGCAGACCTCAGGCCAGCGCGTCTGCGGGTGTGTGAGTTGTTGGGAAGATGCGTCTGTGCTTGCTGGGCTCGGGACAACACGGTCCTTCCTCGGACCCCTCCCAGCCTGCTTCCCCTGGCAGGCAAGAGCCAAGCAAGAGGGAATGAAATATTCAGCACTTGTCTACGTGGCCTTTCATTTCCAAGTGTTTCATAATTCATCGAGTGCCCTGCTCTCTTCCCTGGCATTTCTGCTGATGGAAAAAGAGGGAGTTTTTCTGGGTCACTCGTAATTTTATCAGACTGTAGGAACATCTCTCGCTTCAAACCCAGACTGGCTGCTTCGGTGCTTAGAGCTTGCGCGAAGCCTCGGATCTGGGACTGTTGCACGCCCCACGACGCGCCACGTCTGTGTGCTTGGCGCAGTTCAGGAGAGGCAGTGGCCGG